CTCCTTCTCCTTCTTCTTCTTCTTCTTCTTCTTCTTCTTCTTCTTCTTCTTCTTCTTCTTCTTCTTCTTCTTCTTCTTCTTCAAGAACATCCAGGGAATTAACTAGAAGAACTAAGCTGAGCTCTCGAGAAAACAGGGCTGGCAACTGTATTCACCCATGACAACAGCAATGGGATCGTGAAAGGATTATGATATTATCAGCGACAGAATACGACAATTAATTACCAATGTAGAGTCAGACTGCTGATTTTTTTTTCTTACAGCATTTACATATGAGGAAAAAGCTGTTTTTGCAGATCTCGTGGTACATTTGCGTAAATTTGCCAGAACAACATTCTGCGTGACTACTTGTTTTACGCCCCCATCGGCATAATAAGAGAAGCAGCGTGGTGAAATCAGACGCTCGTCAAACAAACAGAATCGAAGAAACTAGCATGTTTCTGCCGGTTTAACAATTTTGATCGAATCTTTTTTTTTTTTTTGCTGCTCAAAACTCTTTCTGTTCATTTAAAAGCTTATTTCTGTGTGAATTTTACTGGAAAATAAAAAAGTAAATTTGCAATTTCCAAGAAAACGTAGCCTACGAAAGTCACCAAACTTTGGCGGCTATTTTCTCGCTAACTTTACATTTTACACACACCAATCGACCCCCTCCCCCTTCAAACGCAATTATCGCGACTTCTCTTTTTTTTTTTGTACTCGCGACTTCTGTTCCAGAAAGATGAGTATTATCTTCATCAAAAGCAAGGCAAATGACCAAGCTTTTACTTTTAGGCGATATGGTAGACCAATAACTCCACAGGCCCAAACATTGACGAGTGCCTGATTCTACCGCGTCGTGACACAGATCGTTGAGGAGGTGAAATGCTTCTTTGCTGTCTTCGAGCATGGCCTTTCAGGGCCAACCTGTTGTACTCGGACACAGAATCCCAGCGGAAAGGCGGAGGAACTCCATAAAAATTTAAATAAGCATTCCCAGCCCAGTCGTGAATCGAACTGTCGTCATTTGCTTGAAACTGCGAAGAGCCTAACCGTTACATAATAACCACCTGACATATCCCATTATGCGCACTTGGGTAAATGTTGGCCTACACCATACTCAGCCCCCCCTCCCGCAACCTCCCTTTCCCTCCTCCTCTTTCTCTAGCCAGTTAGACGTAGACTTTTCACCTCCAGCCTGCCCTTTGAACCTCGTGCATGGTGGCAATTTTAGAAGGTACTTCTTCTTACGTAACAAGGAAATTGCTTGCCAATACACACGAGCCCTGTTCCATAGCATTTCCGACAGTAGTCCCTTGGGTGCGTGCGTGCGTGCGTGTGTGTGTGTGTGTGTGTGTGTGTGTGTGTGTGTGTGTGTGTGTGTGTGTATGTGTGTGTGTGTGTGTGTGCGCGCGCGCGCGTGTGTGTGTACGGAAGGCTCTCCAGGCTTGAGAGAGTCTATACTCGGTAAGTCGTACTGGAAGTGAGCGACACTGGTTGATAGCACTTACAACAGATGCCCACTGGTCAAATGGATGATCCGATCTGCTTGATTAGATCAGATCAGGTGGGGTTATGACATTGGCCTGTGCAAACTTTATCAAACTACTAAGTGTACATTTAATATCAAATAGATCTTTTCTTTGCTTCTTCAAACATTTTATTTTGGCGCGTAAGTCCATTACGACCTGTTGGAATCTGCGCGCGAAAATCTGACACTGTAATGTCATGTGACATGAAGTGGCACTTCTGATTGGCTGTTGGCCTCGACTTTCATCAAACGGACCCGAAGGTGACCAACAAAATTAAATATGTGTGATTTTGGAGGATTTCATCAAATTGTGCCAAAATTGTAGCTTTTGCTCCTCTTAGAAAAAGAATCGGACCGCTGTAAACTGTATCAAACTATAGACCTTCGTTACTTAGGGTCTGTACTGATATTTTAAAATATATTGATGAAAAAAAGGTATGTCTTCTTACTCTTTTGGACCTTTCGGCTGCATTCGATACCATTGATCATGACATTTTACTCGAGAGATTAAATACTACTTTTGGCATAAAGGGTACTATCCTGCGATGGTTTGAGTCATATTTTAAGGATCGAACACAAGCAGTTGTGGTTGAAAGCACGTGTTCTAATAATGTTTTGCTTAGATGTGGTGTTCCTCAGGTGTCTGTTCTTGGACCTGTCTTGTTTACAATGTATACACAACCTATTGCTGATATTTTAAGACAATATGACATGAATTGCCATCTTTATGCTGATGACACTCAAATTTATAAGTCTATTGATTTCGATCAAATACCACTTCAAGTCGACTCTACTGAACAATGTACTAGAGATTTAAAAATATGGATGACCAGCAATAAATTGAAACTAAATGATGACAAGACGGAAATAATGTTGAGTGGAAATACAAAAGCCATTAAAAATCTCCCAGAGCTACAAATTGATATTAATAACCATACCATTCGTTCAAAAAGAAGTCTTAAAAATCTAGGGGTTCAGTTGGATTATGATGTGTCTATGTCCTCCCAAATTAGCCAGCTCGGCAAAGTATTTACTTTCAGCTTAAGGAAATTGGCAGTGTACGAAATTATTTAACTAAAGCAGCAGCCAAGACACTTGTAACAACACTCATTTTATCAAAGTTGGATTACAGTAATGCTATTTTGTCGGGTTGACATCCGAAAAACTATCAAAGTTACAAGTACTCCAAAATCAAGCAGCAAAATTGATAATGAAACAAAAGAAATCAGCGCACGTAACACCAATTCTGAAAGAACTAGACTGGCTGCCAATAAAAGAAAGGATCAAACACAAAACTGCCGTTCTCTGTTTTAAATGTATAAATGATAGTGCACCTTTTTATCTTAAAACATTCCTGGAATTATATCATCCACCTAGAGCCCTTAGATCAGCCTCTGATAATCTAATTCTTAAAACTCCAAAACAAAATTACAAAACATACGGCGAGCGTTCCTTTTTATTCTTTGGTCCCCAGGTATGGAACGAACTCCCATATAAAATAAGATCTTCCCCAACAATTTCCATTTTCAAAAATCAGCTGAAGCATTTTTTATTCACAAAAGCATACCTGTCATAATGATGTACTGTGATATATATGCATGTGTATGCCAGACTGTGAGACTGAAGAAATAGCGTGAGAGAATGAGAGAGAGAAAAAGAGAGAGAGATAGGGAGAGAAAAGAGAGAGATAGAGAGAAAGGGAGAGAGAAAGAACGAGAGAGAGAGAGAGACAGAGAGAGAGAGAGAGAGAGAGACAGAGAGAGAGAGAGAGAGAGAGAGAGAGAGAGAGAGAGAGAGAGAGAGAGAACGGAAATGTTTTTCTATCTGCATAGAATTAATGTTTTAATGAATGCTTCTAGTTACTCACGTTTCAACTTATTGTGACCGTTCGTGAATTTTTATTGCATGGTATTTTTTAGTGAACACATTTTCAACCTCACTGCGAGACTATTTTTCTCATTTATATTATATGTATAATACGTTGTTTTACGTACGCATTGTCGATTAATTTTTAAGATGTGATGTCTTTTTCGTTGTAATGCGCATTGAGCATCTTTTAGAAAAGGAAAATGCTCAGTATAAATGCTATTTATTATTATTATTATTATTATTATTATTATTATTATTATTATTATTATTATTATTATTATTATTATTATTATTATTATCATTATCATTATTATTTTATGAAATATGGGTTTGATGAATTTTTTTTTTTCATTGTGCACTGCGTATTAATATTACTCACGACATTTTCACAGACATAGGATAAATGCGCTTTGTGGCTCAATATATACAAAGCAAAGAATCAATAACGGCAGTCTTTGCTGAGGAAATGCTCTTATACCTGCCATTTTCATTCTGTTTTTCTCTATTTTAATAATTCCGTGTCGAAAATCAAAGGAAGCCACGGGAGATCAAAAGTAGTTTTTTTAAATTTCTTGTTAGTTTTGTTGCTGTTTGTTGTTGTTGTTGTTGTTGTTGTTGTTGTTGTTGTTGTTATTGTTGTTGTTGTTGTTGTTGTTGTTGTTGTTGTTGTTGTTCTTCTTCTTCTTCTTCTTCTTCTTCTTCTTCTTCTTCTTCTTCTTCTTCTTCTCACAAAATGGAGTACAGTACCTGTCATTGGACCGTCTTGTAGTTTTTCTGCTGGCCCGTGCAGCTCCTTTAGTAGCGTCCTTAGGTCGTTTGAACGACCGCGCTTTCACTTCTCCTACCAATCAAAGGAGGTAGAAGAATAACAGCAGGGAAATTGCTGACCAGTCGAACCTGCCCAAGAAGACCACCTTTTGCCGAGGAGAAAAGTGGTTTTCTTAGACACGTGGTCCTGTTCGACAGTGTCCTTATAATTCTTAAGGGAAGATGCGGGTGGGAAATCGGGTCAAAAATCGAATCGCAAGGGGCAGAAGGAGGAAGGGAGTGGTACTGGTGGTCTTCTTGAACAGGTGGTCTTTGGAACAGGCTCGACGGTATTTCAAAAAGACCAAGGCTGAGAAGAAGTAAAAATGTGTACTGCATTTTAATCAATATTAGACAAAATTATTGTACTTTATGCTCATTTATGTTTTTGAATTTCTCTGAACATCAAAATAAAATGATATTATGATATAAAAATAATCTATTCATCGACGTACACATTTACAAAAGTTTTTTTTTTCTTTGCGTTTTGTATACTTTTATCATCCTGACCTCACGTCATGGGGGTCAAGGCCAATTTCCCGTGACGATCGTAACAGAGAGTGCTCCCGATATCTAGATTATACTGACACACACTGTATCCAAGGTTATAGTTCATGGTACAACTATGCCCAGTCCCACAGAAAACGCCCTCTCGGCACGGCGGAAGAGGCATGCAGATCCCATCAACCGTGGTCGGGTCTTTTCTGTCCACAAATATCCCATCCTCGTCTATCCTGCTGTTGTCGTTCCCCTTCATATCCACGTCGGAATAAGAATAACGTTCGGAAATGATAGGCCCCTTGCCCGAGAGTCCGTGCTGTGGCTTTGGGGAGGAGCTGGTGGCTCTGGATTTCCCTGAATTGGGCTGTTTTTGTTTGGCGTCTGGAGATGTTTTACCCTTGCCCACACAATGGCCGTCTGGACAGCCCAGATGGCAGTGGATTCTCGGGTAGCATATTTTGTTGTATGCGCAGTATTCGTGGACACAGCATCCCTCACTGCATCGACGGTACTGAAATAGATAGTAGAATGTTAATAATATACAGGTAGATCTATGTGTATCTAGGATACAAAGGGAAATGCATATATAATCATATAAGAAAAAAAAATGAAAGGCAGGCTCTGTTCAAACTTTGTTCTCGACACATAGGTTGTAAGTTCCACAGATTGTTGAAAGAGGGCAGAAAAACATAAAGAAATAAATGGTGTGGACTAGAACATGAGGAAAGGTTTTGGAAAACAGAAAGGACGAGATCGAGAAAGAGAAAACGAAACTGAGGAGAGAGAAGGAGAGGAAGAAATTGGGAGAGAGAGAACAAGAGTGAACGAGAAAACGAGAGAGAGAGAGAGAGAGA